TCATAGGGTGCTGCAGGTAAATGCAGCCTTAGCAGGTGGGATCTGTGGAGGGGGCCATGGGGCCACCGGGTAAGGTGCGTCCCCCTCTCCTTCCTCCTCTCGCTCCCTGCCCTGCTGGTCGCTGGGCTGGGAGCAGCTCTCCTTTGTCCAGGCCTCCTGCCGCGCCTGTCCTGTTTCAGCCTGAGCGCAGATGCATTTCTAAACTGTGAGCCAAAATAGACCTCTCCTCCCATGAGTTGAAGGTGTCCCAGGCCTCTCAAGCATGCAGGGCGTTAGGAGCCCGTGAGTGTCATGGCAGTAGGAGGGCTGGGCGCAGCAGGTGACAGGCACCGGCCAGGGATTGAGCCCTCCACGGCCAGCTTCCTGCCCACTCTGTGCTCCCAGGGGCAGGGGCAGTGGCTCCCAGGGACAGTGTGGTCTCAGGCAATCCTTCCAGAGCAGGACAGCTAGAAACAGGGCTGTGGGGGCAGCTACCTGGCTTATCAGCTCTGTCTACCCTTCCCAGAGGTGCAGTCTTGAGCGAGTCAGGCGTCCTCTCCACGCCCTTAGCCGTACCCAGCGGCCAATACCCAGGGCTGTTTGGGGACTGTGCTACTACAAACAATGCACTGAGAATGTGGCCCTCAGAGGCCAGGATGCTGGAGCTCTGCTGTTCCTGTCCCTGCTCCTCCCTGCCTGGTCTTGGCCCAGCTTCAGCTTCTGCAGCTCCCACCCTGCACGCTGGGTCCCCTGCGCTGCCTCCTGCCGATCCAGGATCACTGCTGCTGCCCCAGCAGCACCCAGTGTACCTGAGGTCGGGCAGTCCTGTCCTCCCTTGCCTTTGTTTTCCTGCATGGCATACTAGCTGCTGGGCCCCCTGCCTCAGCTGGCCTAGCTGGTGGTGGGAGCAGGATACAGCCGCAGGGCATGGGCGGGGCCTCATAGTCCATGCTTGCGTGCTCCAGGCTTCTCGTGTCCAGCCTGGAGAAACAGAGCAGCACTGTGGATCCCCAGTGCCCGAGGCCACTGGTCTGTCCCCGCCGCCGCCCCCGGGCAGTGGACTCTGCAGAACTGTGGCAGTTGAGTGCCCGACCCTTTTCACAAGGAGGCTCAGCACCCTGAGGGCGGCCACCGGCAGGAGTTGCTCCTCTGATGTGGACCCACTCTTAAACGCCCCCGGAGACGGGGCTCTGGGGCCCAGAGGCCCGAGTGGCTGGCTCAGGGCCTTAGGACTGGGATGAGCCCAGGTCCTGCCCACTCCCCCACAGGCCGGCAGAGGCCACACTGGTGACAGGGTGGCTGGGCAAGGACTGAGGTCTGAGGCCAAGTACAGCGGTGGCGGAGCAAAGGCCCGAGGTGGGAGGGGCTGAGGGAAGGGAGGGAAAGGTGCTATGCGGACAGCAGTGGCCAGGAGAGCTGGAGAGCAGGCGGGGGCGGGGCGGGCTCAGAGATGGGCAGCCCTGGGCTGTGGCTTCCCCAGCAGCCTCCGCTCCACACCGGAATGGGCAGAGTCCTCCTCCCGGGAGGGCGGGAGCTGGAAGGGTGCCTCGAAGGGCCTCAGAGAGACCTGAGCCAGTGAGGAAGAGCCATCCTCCATTGCCCAGCTCTCCCTGGTCTTCAGCAGGCACCTCCCGCCCAGCCTGGGTCTCCTCTAAGCTCAAGGGAAATGTGCCAATTAAGTGACCAGCCCAGGAAGCCTGGGCACGGGAGGGAAGCTCGCTCCCTTCTGGGAGGCCGGCCTGGCGTGCTCAGGCACTGAGGGGTTCAAATGAGCAGACGCAACGTGGCATTTACAAACCCTTATGAACTGCACGGCAGGACTGGCCGGAAACCCCGGTGAGCCTATGAGATGTGAGGCTCTATTTTGCTCTTTGGAGTCTTTTAAAATAAGGAACACAGAAACAAGAGAAGGAAAGCCCGGGCCAAGCCAGCCAGTGGGCATTTCTGGAACCCAGGCGGGCCGCGGCCTCTTTTCCCAGCAGGAAGCACAGCGAAGCATTTCAAGTCTTAAGCACTCCAGACTGGGAAAAACCCAAGCAGCTCAGACAGGCGTGCGGCCCACAGGCTCTGTGGAGCTGCAGGAAAGGGCCTGCCCCAAAAGCACTGCATTTGATCATCCATTTCAGGACCCTGTGGGCCACACTTCAGAGCGGCTTGGGGCAGTGGTGCGGGCTGGCGTCACCTGGCTGTGCGGGGCCCTCACCTCCTGGCCGGTGGGGACGGTGGCCAGGCCTGCAGGTAGTCCACAAAGAGGATTTCTTGAGCAAAATCGAAGTGGCAGTTGCCAGGGCCCTTCCGGATGAGGAAGCCGTCCACAGGAGAGACGCGTAGGCCGTCCAGGGACACGTGCACGACCTTGGCCTGGTGAGCGAGACACAGCTCATGGGAGAGGCTTCGGAGTCCCCGGAGCACGGCCCGGCCTGGCTCTCTGCCCCCCAGGCCCACAGACCCAGCCCACGCCCCAGTGTCGGCCCACTTCCTGCCAGGTGTGGCACCCTGCGCTGGCCGAGAGCAGAGGCCCAGATGGACTCAGCCCGACTGTGGGGGACAAGCTGCAGGGGTGGCACAGGACCCACCACGTCACCAGTGGCAGTGGCTGCGGCAGTACATCGCACAGGTCCAGGGTGCGGGCGCGGTGCGTGCCCATCGCTGAGCCTCCCTGTGCCTCGCTTCTCCCACCTGCTAACTTCCGAAACGCCCAGATGACCCCTGCACAGTGTGCCCCGTGCCACCCCCCGTCTGCAGCTCGCCTCCTTCAAACGCCGGGTCACACAGCACCCTGTCCTTGCGCCTTCGCCGGGACCGCAGGCCCACCTGCTGCCTGCTCAGAGCCCACGGCGCATCCTGCAGTGTCCAGGTCTCTGGGCGGCACAGACCCCAGTGACGCCATCTCCCGCTCTGCCACACTGTGGGTGCTCATGGACAGCTGCCGAGTTCCCGTGGACTTGGGTGGCACCTCCCGGTCCCAGCCAGAACTCTGCAGGCCGACGGAGGTGTGCCCCACCAGCAGCTCAGTCCTAACGCCGGGGTCTGAGGTGGTCTAGCACTGCCTGTGCTATGGCCGGGTGTGGGTGGCAGGCAGCCACGGCCGGGACCCTTTTCTGAGCACAGATTCTGGGGTCAGCTTCTCCCCAACACCTGCACCATCACGGTGAGCAACACGGGCACAGCTTTCTGACCAAACTGCTGGAGCTTCCTTTTGGGAGATGCAGGAAGGTGTGCGGGCGGGAGGAGCCCTGCCTTGGGTCACAGGGATAACTCCTTCATCGTCTATGTTGGGCACTCCCTTGTGAACCCAACAAGGGCAGGGCAGCTACTTCTGGCACAGCTGCATCTACGAGCCAGCACTGCCTCTGCCTGATGCTCCGGACCCAGGCATGACCAGTCTCCACCTCTACCACTCTCTGCTCTGCTTTCCTCAGGACCTGTGGCCCAAACGGAGGAACGGAGGCTCCTCATCTCATAAGGGGAGTCTGCTTTTCTCGGACTTGGGAGCCGGAAGGGCATAAACCCGGAACTGCTGGCACTGCCCCTGTGAGCAGTCACCAGAAGCGACTCCAGAGCAGAACTGGGGCGCAGGAGACGCCGTCACCCGCCAGAGCCCACTCCTGTCCAGCAGCATCTGCTTGGAGGGCAGAGGGGCTGAGCACCTTGCCCGGGCCCCAAAGGGCGTGAGGCCCCATCTGCGGGCGTCCAAGGCCCCGGCTTCCAACCCACAGTGAAGGGGATCGCAGGGCCTTGGTGTGGGGACCTGAGGCAGGGGCCCTGCCCTCTCACACCACGTGTCTGCCGCACCTCCCTCCTCCCTCCAGGGCCCCTCAGCATGGACCCCGAGACTGAGGGGCCAGGCCTGCGAGGTGGGGACTCTGAACCCAGAGCTCCAGGTTGAGACCCCAGCCTCCAAGAAGCTCGAATGGAAAGACTGACATGAACGGCTCAGGGGATTTAAGGGCTGAGAGCACACGCCAGGCAGAACAGGCATCTTCACTGTCTGTCAGTGCCCGCCTGGGTGGTGCTCACAGTGACCCAGGCCACTGAGGACCCAGGTCTGGGACCTCAGGAGCCGAGGCCAGGTCCTGGCCTGTGGATTGCACTGCGCAGAGGGAGCCAGCCCATCAGAGGGAGGTGGCACCAGGTCCCTCTCAGCTGAGGGGCGCAGGGGAAACAGCCGCACGGTGCCCAGGGACCTGCTCAGGACTGTGAGGCAGGGTCTGTGCCGCTGCACCCATGCGACGGGAGGCACAGTGCCATCCACTCCCAGGCCTGGAGGCCAGACGAGCCCAGGGAAGTGCCCTTCTGATGACCTTTCCCTGTTCCCACAGAGGCCATGCCTTAGAAACCTGCTCTTTTCACACCAGCAAGAAAAGAACAGTGTGGAAGTGGAGCGTGGCCTCGTCTGGCAGGCCCGGGTATTCTAGCTGTGGGACCTCAGCTCATGGTTGGACCTTTCTGAACCTCCACTTACTCCCCTGAGAAAGGGGCCGTGACCCTGTAGCCCAGAGCTGGGATGGAGACCCAGTGAATGGCAGAGCACACAGAGCCCTTCCGCAGGCCTGGCCCCGAGGGCCCCACGCCAGCAGACCCGGCCTTGGGTCCTGGCTACACGGGGCTCCTGGGTCTGCATTTGCTGCTTGTGGAAGGAAATGGGAGCTCCTTCCCCGTATCACCCCCAGTTCCACTTGGAGAGTCCCGAGGATTCACGCTTCTCTCCGGCAGCATCACTAGCCATTCATCACAGGTCTGTTTCCTTGACAGTGGCCTGAGTGTGGCCACGTCCCCAGCTCACCCCGCGATAGGTGTCCTCGGGAGATTTATTGTAGTTCCAGAAGCGCAGGCCAGCCAGGCTTTCAGCTCTGTCGAAGCGGATCGTGACCACATGGTCCAGCCCAGGCCAGAAGGGGATCAGCCACATGTGCTCATCCTCCGTGGTGATGTTGATGCCATCAATCAACCTGCCAGGAGGGGTGGGTGGGGGAAGGGGCAGCAGAGGTGTGGCCGAGACTGCGGCGGGGGGGGGGGGGCTCGCCCCTTACTCCTCCGCCAGGCCCCATGCAGAGGCTGCAGCAGCTTTGGCCACAGCTGTGGCTAAAGCGATCTACAGTGACAGGGCCCTCTCATCCATAAATTAGACAAAATGTTAAGAAGGGAAAAAGAACTCAGAACAGCCAGTGCTGATAAAGGCCCAGTGAAGCAACCACTGGGGTTAAAGAAAGAACAGGGAAACATGCAATATTTCAGGGCCCTTTAGCCCACACTCCCACTTCTGGGATTTCTTTGCCCCTGTGGAGAATTTATTCCGCACATTGGAAAGGTCATCTGCACAAAGACATTGATTAGAGTTATGCATACTGGCAATGCAAGGGTGCGCGCGCGCACACACACACAAACACACACACACACACACACATGCTCAGGATCACCTAAAATATCTCAGAACAGGGAAATGGTTAAGTAAATCGGAACTGAGCAATCAGGAGGCTCTGTGATAACACAGGACAGGGGAGCCACAGGACGGCGGGGACACCGACTACGACCCTGGGCACCAGGGACCAGGCTGGGAGAGACTGAGCCAAAGTGAGGAACACGGGACAGAGGGCTGAGAGGTGGGTTTTTTCTCTGACTCCGAGACTTTCTGAGATTTCTGCATTGGCGTCATGATGCATTTTGAGAGACACAAACCCTTCTTTCTTGGGTGAGGCAGAAAGGTGGAGGACACCGGGGGACAAGGTGGCCCTTGGCTGGACAAGGGCAGGAGGAGGTGGTGACCCTGAGAGCAGGACTGGGCCGACCGTGCCAGTGCCATGGGCTGGGAACCCCGGGAAGCCCAGTCACAGGAGGAGCGGCACCCCGGGCCCTTCCCAGGCTCTGCGGGTGCTGAGGGCCGTCTCTCTCCTGGCCACCCTGCCTTGCTCTCCAGCCCCGCGGCCCCAGCCCCAGGAGGACCCCGCCATTGTGGGCCTTCCCCTTCTTCCCATGTCCTGAGCCTCCCTCAGCCCACACCACAGACTCCCACTGTACTGGGAGAGCCAGGCTGCTGCCACGTTTTCTAAATTTGCAAATAAAATTTTTTTCCTTTCACATGTTAAAGTTTTGGGTTTGGAATAAGTCCTGCAATCTAAGTGTTCATCCCAGGAGGTAATGTAATTTTTTTCTCCTCCAAAAAGCTGTTATTAAATTGATGGATGGTGTGTCTCACAACTACTGGCATCTTAACACTGAGGAAATTCAGCACTCTGACACTGGGTGTTTGTGGAGCTAAGATGACTGAGTGCTAACACCAGAGAACCTTCTATTTCCTTCCCAAAGCAATTACTTTTCTGTCCTAGAAATGGGGCCACTTCCACTGCAACATGGCTGCTTCATTCTGAGAGCAGAGAACTGCTGAAGCACCAAGAAGTGACCGTAAAGGAGGCCTGAACTACTCACAAAGGCAGAGGCACCACGGCCGACCCAGCAGCCAAGAGCACCCTTGGGGCTCAGCTGTGGTCTCTAAATACCATTGGCCTCCACCACCACCAGAGCTTCTTGGAGAAAAGGCTGAGTGAAGGTCTGCGCCAAGACATACACAAGATGAGCCTGGGGCATCTTGTCACATCGAAGGCAGGGAGGCAACCAGACATGGTTATTTTGAAAGAACTCGGGCAGAGTGGGGCTGTAGCTCAGTAGTAAAGGACTTGCCTGAATGCACACGGCCCTGGGTTTGATCTCCAGCATCATAATAATAAATAGATAGGGCCGGGGATTTAGCTCAGTGGTTCTGGTACCTGCCTCGCAAGCGCAAGGTCCTGAGTTCGAGCCCCAGTACAATAAATAAATAAATAAATAAATAGACTTAGAAGCTCCCAGCGTCCAAGAGGGGGCAATCTGAGCATCAATAAGACAAAAAGAGCAGTGGATTAAAATCCTCCAAGCACAGCACACCTAAATTGTAAGTCTATAATGAGACTGAAAAACATTTGAAAACATTGTTATTCTGAAAACTGAGGGGGAAAAGGAAAGAATCAAGGCAAGAGTCAAGGCTGCTGTTCTTATTTGAATTATCCCACAGAATAACCAGTTTTAGGGAAATATCGCAATCATTTCGGTAAATAAATGGAAAAAGGCGTACGAAGACAAGCAAGGTTCAAACGGGTAGAGGTGGTGGGAGGGGAAGGGGAAAGGAAAGAAGGGAAAGGAAAAATTACGAGAGGAGAAAACATGGAAACGAAGTCTGTGTAAATAGGGAAGGGTGGAGGGGGTGAAGGATGCACAGGGAATGGGGAAAAAATAAGAACCAAGATGCATCAGGTATAGGTACAAGCACCCAATGATAGATGTAAACATATTGTATACCGAAAATGTACCAATAAAAGAATTTAAGCAAAAAAATAATAATAAGAAGAAGACAAGTGAATGAGTGAATGAGCCTGGCCCTGAGCGTGACCGGCCAACACTGTCACTACCGGCGTGGCAACCGCACAGTACACACACCCTGACGGCCACACAGCAACCTCTACACTGCTGTCTTGCCCCAGCATTCAAACCGCCCCCTGATCAGATCTCCAGAACTAAGTAACAATTTGCCCAGAATACAGGGAATAGAGGCATAGGTTAAACAACACAGGGATGTACGGGTAAAACCCAGACTCCATGGGGCAAGAAAGCATGGTTCCTTCTACAGATGACTTACAAGAAAAAAAGGAAAGAAACAGAAGGGGCCCTAGCAGGAAGCTGGAGAGATGGCTCAACCAATCACACCCATGGATCTTATCTGGATCTCAATTCAAGTGAGCAAACTGTAAGAGATGGAAAGACCATTGTGCTGGACATCTGATAGTTTACAGAGCCACTGGGTTAATATTTTTAGGTGTGATGATGATACCAAGATTGTGTTTCCTTTGAAAGTCCTATTGATGAGCAATATATACAGAAATGTTAGAGAGGCCTGGGACCTCCGTTTATGAGCAGGCCCGGGACACGCTGCAAGATACCTGGACAGCGGGGTGGTGCACAGGGGAGGGTGAACCAGCTGGCTGGGTATGGGTCACCTTTGCAGCCAGCCAGGAGCCAGGTCCGTGGGCTCTGGGTGAACTGCCAGGATCCAGAGGTCAGAGTGGCCCATGCACAGTCAATGCCAGCAGGGGATGTGGGCCTCAGTGAGAAGCCACTTAAAGGGAAGCAAGCAGGAGCCTATCACTGGCCCTACATGCACTCATCGATACAGGCCAAGCCAAAGGGCATGGATGCAAAGTGACGATCCCCTTTCGGACCCCCAGCCAGGGAAGACATGCGCCCCCTTCTACTGATGAGAATCCAAAGCAGCTCACGAAGTGCTTAAGTGCCTGGGTATGGGTACACCCTGGGCCTGCACTCAAATCTCTTAACATGTCTAGTGACTTCTGGCCTCTCTAACCTTCTGCATCTCAAATTCCTCATCGGTAAAGTAGGGGTGAGAATAATAGTGCTTACCCTAAGTTGAAGGTAAATGAATGAATACCTGTAACCGCTTAGGACACCCCAGTGCTTACTGTTTAGTAAGTGTTCAGAACGTGGTTTCTATAACATCAATTACTACTGTTGTTGTCATCACCACCATTACTGGAGAGGTTAAGAATCTCATAGGTGGCACAGACAGGACTTGAACTCCCTGCCCAGGCTCTCTTCCACTTTCCTTGTTCACACCTCCAGGCAGCGGCCAGGCCCCACGGCCTTGCAGGTCTGTGGGGAAGGGTGACATGCGGGTCCTGTCTGACGTGTTTGAGATGCAGTCGCTGGGCTGCACGGAGCGAAGCTTCCGCAGACACTTACTTGTCCAGGGTCCGGGAGTCAGCAGTGTACTCGGGAAGGTCATTCAGGTCTCGGGGGCAGGCAGAGATCTGCTGCAGGTGGATGGGCAGGGCCTGGCCATCCTTGCCCACCACTTCCAGGCCAGTGAGGCCCAGGTAGTGCAGGTCCCCCCAGGAGGCTGTGAAGTTCAGCTGAAGGCCTGTGGTGGGGAAAGAAGCGGGTCATCAGCGCCAAGGTGGAGGAAAATCCTGAGCTGAGCGGAGAGCAGATGTGACCCCTAACTGGGCAGCTGAGGAAGAGCAGATGAAAGTGAGATTGGACGGTGAGGCTGGGCTAGATCCTGGGAAGCCTGCATCTCCCTGACTGCGCCACGGGCAGCTCCTGGGAGGCCGGCCGCACTTTCCGGGCCTCTCCGCAGCTGGCCTATGCAAGGGAAGGGGACCAGCCGGGCGGAAGCTTGGTGCTGGACAGGGGTTGTGGTGAGAACGGGGAGAAGCGGACAGACTGAGCATCCGTTTGCAGACCGGGTCCTTGAGGGCCTGGATAGGCAAGGGAGGAAAGAGGTTTCTGCCCAGGCAGCAGAGAGGCTGTGGGCAGCACCCCCATGGAGAAGAGCCGCGGGCAGAGGGGTGGACTTGGGCCAGGGAGAAATGCCACCTCCCCAAGAGGAAACAAGGGGACAGCCCCCCACTCTCCCAAGCCTGTCCTGCGTGTTTGCCAGCAAGATGCGCGGTGATTCCGCCTAGTCTGGGGAGCTCGGAAAGTGATAATGCTCCTTTCTGGGCTAATATCCACATTCCATATTCATTCTCCTCGGGTGTATCAATTAGTATTTATATAAATGGAAATTAATTTTGTTATTCCTCTCCCATGTTTCAACCCTCTCAGCTCCTTTCCTATTCATCACTGCTAATATTTGCAAAACTTCCAAAATTAGTGTCATCTGCAAATTAGCAAGTCATATCTTCCCTTTCAAAACATGAATAGGATTTGGCCATATTTACCACCCCCGGCGCATCCCCTGGGCCGCTCTATTAAGGCCTCTCCATTTGCACAGATGGGTGGAGCGGTGGAGGATTCGGGGTGTGGGCTGGCGCATGTTGGGGGCGCTCGCAGGAGAGGCCTTGCTGCTGAGAAGATGAGCACGGAGTCCCACCTGCCAGCAGACAGGTCTGAGCTCCACTCCAGGGCAGGATTCCCCCGGGCGCTGCGCCACTATCTCTGAAAAGGGCGGGAGCTGGCCCAGTGGGAGACACACTTGGGAAGAGCGCCTCCGAGAGATCCGCAGGTGAAGGGGCGCTGCGACTCCTGCCCGGCCCGCACTCCGACCGCACCGGAGCACAGAGCTTTGCTCCGTCCATGCACGGGTGGTGGACCCCGCTCCCTGGGCTCCAGGCCTGGCCTCTCCATGCTTTTTGCCTCCCACCTCCTCCCTCCCCACCATGGAGACCAAGAGGTCTGTGGATGGGCATGCGACCAAGCGAGACCCGGAGACTTCACTTCGGGGCAGCTACTGGCCTCTTGGATACACAGCCCTCTCTTATCTGGGGTCGTGGGGTAGAAGGCAGGCTCCAGAGCTCCCGGGAGGCCCCAGCTGGACAGTGGAATGGCGGGGTGCAGGGGAGGAAGACAGGGCAGAGAGATGGAGGGACACCAGGGCCTGGGGACATCTTTTCTTGTCTGTGTCCCTCTGTGCAGGCAGCTGTGACCTCTCGCGTCTTAGTTTTGTAAGTCAGTAAATAGCCCCTTTTGCTTAACTCAGCTTGAGTTCAATTTCCATTGCTCATAAAAAATATAAAGAAGAATCCTGACCCACGGAGAAGAGAGCCAACTGCATGAGAAACACCCGCTGCCCTGTAGGCCCTCTCGCTCCCAGGGGAACCTGACATGCAGGGACCTCTGGCGTGAGGGCCGAGGCTGAGGGGCTGCGTGTGCCGGTCCCGGTTCACTGTGGAGAACACCCACTTGGCCTCCATGAGGCTCTGCACAGGGCCCTGCCCCTCCTGGGGGCAGCCGCTGCCCTCACTCTCCTAGGACACCCCAAAAGGCCCGGGACTCGGAGCATCCTGCGGGGCTGGCAGGAGCCTGGCTTCTCCCTCCGCCTCGTCCCCCGACCTGCCTCCCGCCTGCCCAGATGTGAGTCCCAAGCATGGCCTGGTGACATCACACAGAGCCTGCTCTCAGACTCTGGTCAGTGCCAGCCAGCTGGGGAGGACCGAGGAGGTGCAGGGGCTGCACCCGGGCCTCATGGGAAAGGCAGGGACAGTGTCACGGCGCTGTTCTCAGGAGATAAACTGAATGAGGTAGCAGGAACACGGGGATGAGAAGGAGCTGGAAGCCAAGCTAGCTGGAGCCCATGGGCAGAGCTTCCAAGAGAACATGGGGAGGAGCTCACAGCTGTGGCCTCGGGCTGCGGAGTCCGGGCAGTAGGGGCTGACGCAGAACTGGCTGCAAGGAGGCCCGGAGAAGGGCTGCAAAACAGCCGGGGACCAGATGGGGCTTACCCGGAGCCACCGCATCTCATTAGGCTCATGCAGTGTTTTAAAACACCATGTAAGACTCTGAGAGCTCACACAAAAGGCTGGATTCCTGACCTCTCGGAGGCCAGAGGACCCGGCACCCAGGGCCTTATTCCTGCCACCCAGCTACTGAGGCAGAGGGGACACAGGCTGCCTGGTGTATTCCCCTCCTCTGAGGCTGAGTGGGAACCAGCAGTGCCCACTGCTCCAGGGACAACTGCCTGGTCCCTCTAGTGCTTAGGGTCTCTCTTCTACACTTGCTGGGCTCCAGCTGCAGCCTCCCCATCGGACCCACAGTGAACACAGGGAGTCCATGTGCACGACGCACACTACACCCTTGGCAAGGCAAACTGCAAAGAGGCGCCGCACCTCTGAGGGGAGCAGCCCTGCCAGGCCCTGCCCTGAGTGGGTGCCGGTTGCAGCCCTCGCTTGCCCACAGCCTGGCACCTGTGTGTGGGGTGCGACTGGCTCCCTGACAGAGGGAGCCCTGTCCTAGTGGCCGGGCACACTCCACGCCGGGTGGGGGGCAGTACTCACAGATCCCGTGGTAGATGCCTGGTGCCGGCGTGGTGGCTTCGGGGACCGGGGCACTAGGCGGCAGCTCTAGCCCTGGGGTCTGCAAGTGATCAGGAGAGAAGCAGGAGAAGGGGTGGCTTTAGTGGCACTCACACAGCTGGCCAAGTCCCAGGTACAGCTGCCCGCCCGTGTCCCAGGAAACCCTGGTCTTTCCTGGCACGTCAGCCCCTGCAGATGCCCTGACTAGGAGATGGGCAGTCCAGGGCCTGCAGGCTGACCCCTGCCAGCTGCCGCTGTTGGCCGCAGAGATGTGTGACACTACAGCGTGATGCTGAGGCTTTTCCTAACAGAGAAGCCCTGACAGTGTTCACCTTGTGCGAGGGGGAGGGGAGGCAGGAGGGAGGAACAGAGGCAGGGTTCAGACCAGAGAGTGCTTTTCAACCTGGGCCTTCCCGGCCCGCATCTCAGGGCGGCCCCGTGTCCACACTTCCAAAGTCCTGCTGGATTCTCACGGCAGCCAGGACAAAATCAGCAACGGCTGCCACACCTGGTCCTTGGGTCCCAGCCCCGACTGCTCTTTACTTCTCTGCACCCTAAGTCAGGGCAGAGCACCTCCACTACTTCACGGCCAGCAGAGCTGAGACACGAAAGACAGCAGAGTTGCTTGTCTCCAGCATGCGGGTCGGGGTCCATCCACGAGGCCCCGTGAGAACCTTCACTGCCTGGAACATGCGGGCCATGGGAGACCTCGAGGTCAGCTCCCAGTGGGAAACCACAGATCGAGTCAGACCGAGGATGTTCAGTGGCCACACAGGGCTTGAAGACATCTGAACTAGTTGCCCTTTTTAAAGTGAGATTTTACATAAAAACTGATTTCTAGCTTCTCTTGAAAATATCAGGAGAACGAGCACCAGTGAGTGAGCAACTGCCACCTGGAAACAGAGGAGGGACACGTGAGGCCCAGCGACCGACCCACTGCCGCCATCTTGTCCCAGTGCTGCCTGGTCCACACGTGAGCACAGTAGGGTCCACACGCCCCACCCAGCTGCTGGGCCTTGTCACCACTATCCCATGGCGTGGCCTGCTCGCCTGTGGCTGCTGGCTGCTCCCAGCTTCCCCCCTGCATGCTTAATCATCTCCTTCCCCCTCGTGTTGGCAAGAAGTCCCCCAGGACCTTGCAGACTTGGATCGACCTTTACTCGGAAGGTCATCTTTCATTTTTAACGTATGTATTGATGAAAAGCATACGCTCTGGACCCATGAATTCAAATTCCAGCCAATGTGCCCTTGGGCAGGTCATTTAACCTGCCTGAGCCTCAGCTCCTCAATGGGAACATGAAGAGTTTCCACTCAGAGGCCACCTCGGGGCCAAGCGCACTGATGCCATCCACACGTGGATGGCAACCCACGCCCGGCGTCCTGGCCACACCGCTCCCCACTCTAATTCCAAGGCTGCCTGTGAAAGGCGTATCTAATCTTCCACCCAAAACGGCGGTGAGGAGTCACAGCACCACCCGGAGGAAGGACTCCCCCTACACTGACAACCTCTAAATCACACAGATGACACACAGCAGCCTTCTCCTGGCTTTGATTAAAATTTGAATGCTTTCTTCACATCGGTTAAATAAAAAATAAGAGATAATTAGAGAATGAAATATGACATACAGGGCAGAAAATGAAGGAGAAAAATGGGGAATGTCAAAACAGTAGCCTGAGCAACTTAAAGGATATCTGTCTTAATTCCTCCCGCTCTGCTGGGAGCTGGGAGCCCTCAGAGGCCCCGCTGCTGCAGGCCTACCCAGTCCTCCACGCCGGAGCCCGCCTGGGTGAAGGGCCGCTCCTGGGCCTCGCTGTCCGCTGTGCTGGGCCTCCGCAGCGCCTCCTCCAGCTGCAGGTCACACAGGCTGTCCACGTCAGTGCCAAAGGTCTCATCCGAACAGAATATGGCCTCAAGGATGTCGTCATCAGTTGTGAACAGGATGGTGTCTCCGAAGTGCTCCGGGGCTGAGCGCGTCACCGGAAAGACAGAAGGCTCTGCTCGTCTCACACTGCGATCATGCGACACCCAGAACCTGACCGCCAACCTTGTGACACCCAATGTGACTGGCTGTGCACGTGAGCTGTCTTGGCCCTCACGCATCTCACGTGGAGTTCACAAAGCCTAAGAACTGAGGAGGGGACCTCACAGAACCGGAGCCACTGTGATCTGCCACCAAACAAGGGCCCTTTCTTTGGTGTGGGTGAGGAGCTGTAGCTGATGCTTCCGGGGCCCCACCCAGGCCCCTGCTTGCCCTTTCCACGGTGCCTTGTCTGGGAGGGTGTGAGTGTTGTGCCCCAGCCTGGGGAGCTGGCGGGCGGGCTCCCAAAGCCCACTGCTTCGCCTGAAGGCAGGAGACCCAAGTGGCTCCCTTGGGATGGCTGAGGCCAGGCTCCCCTGAAACTCTACCCTCAGACTCTGACCCAAGATTCCCCTAAAACCACTTGCCCAATGCCTCACTCCAGGACAAATCCCCGCGCAAGTGGAGATTAAAAGAAGTGAGGCGGCTTGGGCACACCCAGGCTGTGAGAAGTGAAGGGAGTGACCAGGTCTAGGGGAGCCCTACCTGCCGTGCTACCCTGGGGCTAGATTTTGCCCCTCACAGCCTCAATGAGCAGCACACAGGGGCTTCGAGAACATTCTGCCAGATACACCGTACCTCCTGCCAGGGTCCCAGAAGCCTTGGCGATCTCTCCGTCAAAGATGCACTGCCCGTCCAACAGCATTGCGATGTCCTTCACACCTCGGAAGGAATGGATCCTGGATTTGTTATAATTCCAAACCCTGATCAGGGCGACCTGGCAGGGGTGCGTGAAGTCGACAGAAATGGAGTGGGGCTGGCCTGGCGTGAAGGGGGCCAGCCAGACGTGCATATCGTCCTGGGTCCTGTTTACCCCGTCGATGAGGTTGGTGACCACCCGGGGGTCTTTCCCATATGCTGGCAGAACATTGATGTCGGGGGGCTCTGCTGTGATGGCTGAAATCTGCACCGGCTCCCCCTTGGAACTGAAGATTTCTATTCCATTGAGGCCGACATAGTGCCTGTCACCCCACGTGGACCGGATGTCGATGACCAAGTGCTGTCCCTGAGGCAAGACAGGGATTTTGAAGTCGTCGCTGCCGTCAGTCTCTTCCGAGAGGTCGCCTTGCCCCCTAGACGGCTCCAGCTCCCCGTCCCTGCAGGGTGGTGGCTGGGCCCTCGGCCGGCCACTCCTCTGCTGCTGCAGGAACTCATCCAAGATGTCCCCCTGGGGCTCCAGGTGGGAGATGCGGCCCCGGTGTGAGCGGTCGAAGGCACTGAGGGAGTCCCACGACTCACGCAGTGTGTGCTCCTGCTTGCTATGCCACCTCAATCGTAAAGGTGTCTTGGAGGCCCGGGTGTCTTCTGGAAGAGAGGACATGGTGGGGGTGATGCCCCATTAGTGGTACGTGCAGAAACAGGGGGCTTTGGGGACTGTCTCACGGGGTGCCTCTCACCCAGCAGTGCCTCCCTCCAGGAGGTGTTCTCCCTGCCTCAGGGCCCACTGGCACTTGAGGGAGGGACCAGGGGTGTCACCATCCTACCCTACATGGCCAGTCCCAGCCCACACAACTTTCAACTGCGCTGCTGGATGTTCATGTTGGCAAAAAAATGCTTATGATCACCCAAGCCTAGAACCTGTTTGTTTTATAAAAAAAGTATTTTTGATAGACTTTCAATTATTTTGAAAATGCAACTGTCATAGAAACCAAGAGGAGCTGAGCATGGTGGCTCATGTCTGTAATCCCAGCACTTGAGGGGTGGAGGCAGGGGGATTGGTGTGAGTTTGAGGCCAGCCTGGGCTACACAGTGAGTTCAAGGGCAGGCTGAACTACAGAGCAAGACCCTGTCTCAGAAAAAAAAAAAAGAAAGAAACCAAGGGGAAGTTCTATAGTTTGGATCTTGAGGTCCCCCAAAGGCCTGTGTGTTAAAGGTTTGGTTCCCCAGACCACAGTGGAACCTTTGTGAGGTGGGGCCTGGTTAGATCACTGGGGTCAGAGCCTTGGAGGGGTCACTGGGGCCCTCCTCTTCCTTCTTTGCTTTTTGGCCCCCAGAGGTGAGCAGCTTCTGCCTCCACAAACAGGAAGCTACCACCATGATGTGGTGCCTCAGCACAAGCCCTAATCAACAGTGCCAGCCAACCAGAGACTGAACCCTCCAAAGCTGTGAGCCCCAGCCAAGCCTCCCTCCTTGTAAGTTGTTCTCTCAGGTATCTCATAGCAGTGAGGGAAAGCAGGTGCAGGAAGACCATTTGGTCACGTTAGAAACTTTGCCAGAAGTCACTCCCCACTTAGCAGCTCCCAAGACAGGGGCAGCACTGAGTCAGCAACATGAGGGGCTGTGCTTGAGGCTGCACAGTCACGTAACTTGAATGGTGTCCCCCAAAACCACTGAACAGCAGGTGAAGGCCTCGTGAAAGAATAGAAAAGGGGGAAAGCTCAACGTGCAGCATTAGATGCAGTGGATCCATGCACGGGTGATGCATGCTAGGGTGTTAACAGTGATTACTACAGGGTGGTGGGTAGGAAGGACTTTTCTTTTCCTCTTGGTAACTTTACTTGTTAAGGTTCCTTGCTTATATTACTTTTATAGTCAAGAGAAAATGCTAGTGTTAAGAAAGCAAACCAGCCAAGGGCATCACACAGAAAGGGGTCGACCTGTACCCGTGGCCAAGGCCCACGGCCCCTGCTTGTCTCCCAGCTTGTGTGAACACAGAGCAGCCTCACGGATGCTCTGAAGGCCCTGGTGTGAGCACAGGCAGGCAGCATCCCAACTCGCGGCCATCATGGCCCAGCACCCTCCGAGGTGGCATTCTGCGAAGCAGCCAGTGACACTGACTCTGTCTCCCCTTTCATCTGTTTCCCGCTTGTCGGGAGGGCCTGCTCCATCAATCCCCCTCCCTCCAGGCTCTGCCTCACTCCTTCCCCACCCTGCTCTGCCTGCTTGCAGACCTGCATAAATCTCTTCTGCCCAGAAGGAGACATGGGGAGCTGGCCTGATTCTGTGGCTCCTCCAATTGCTGTCCTAGTTTCTCCCTTGCACGCAGATGCTCTGCGGCCCTCACCCCAGCCACCCGCTGTCTCTTTGTAGAGTTATTGTTTTGCCCACCCCAACCAGCTTCCCCTCTCCTCTGATTTCTCTTTGGAGATGCCCCCACCTCCAGGCCATCCGGACTGGACTGGATGAGAGCCGACACCACCCTTCCGAGCCAAGCTCGCAGAGAGACTGGAGGATGGAGGGCTGGGGTTGCAAGGGGCCATTCTGCAGCACTGTGGGGAGAACCTGTGTCTTGGTCACTTTCTTGCTGGGACACAATACCTGACGCCCACAACTCAAAGGCACAGAAGTTCCTTTTGGTTCACATTTTCAGTCCATGGCTGCCTGGGTCCGAGGCAGGATGGCATGGCGAGGAGCACAATGGAGGAGAAGCTGCTCACGGCATGGTGGTCAGGAAGCAGGGGGCAGAGAGACCCAGGAAAGGAGACACAGTATACTTTCCAGGTGACCCTCCTCTTCCAACCAGGCTCACCTCCTAATATCACACTTAGCTACAGCACCCCATGATTCAGTCACTTTCAAAAGCCTCACTTATGGGCCCGGAGGTTTAGCTCAGTGGTTCTGCCATCTGCCTCGCAAGCGCGAGGTCCCGAGTTCCACCCCTGGTACCAGAAAAAAAAAGCCCCACTTATGAGTGTTCAGGCCTTGGGGCCCATCTAGATATAAACCATAATGTGCTGGCCCTGGTTCTCAAAAGGCCCATGTGCATCTCTTTATGCAAAATGCATTTACTCCACCTCTAAGAGTTGCCAAAATCTGAACAGTTACAGCACTGGAAAAGCCCAAATCCAAAGTCTCCTCTGAGACTTACAGGAAACTTTAGCTCTGAGCCACTGTAAAAATAAAAAAGAAAATTAAACACTGCTGACATACAACAACACAGGGTAAACATTCCCCCTCCAAAGGAAGGAACAGGGGATAAAAATGAATGGAACTAAAGCAATACCAAAATCCAACTCTGTAGCTCCATGTGAAGCACCTAGGCAAACTGAGGCAAGATGTGAATTCCACATGGCTCGGGTGGCCCCACTCCCATGGCACTGCTAGTGCTTATAGCCCTTGAGGTTTTTCTCTTGGGCCAGCTTTGCTCACTCCTTATGGCTTTTCTCAGACATCCCATGCTCCTGGCTTCTCCAACTTTCTAGGGTCTCCACTGCACTTTCAGCTTCATTCCCATAGCTTCACACCCTGCCCTCTTGGGGCCACTGCCTGCCCTCCCAGGCCTTCTTCTGAAATCTGGATAGAAGCCTCCCTGAACCCACAACTCTGTGTCCTGCATGCCTGTAAAACTAGCACCACATGGATGATGCCAAGGTCTGCTGCCAGCTTGAGCAGTAGCCTGACCCCCCTGGACCATACCTGCAGAGACTTCTGAGTGCCTAGATGGCTGAGCACTGTGAACTGAATTCCAGCAAACCAATTCCCTACATGGCCCTTTTAGGGCACTGTGCCTTATAGCTCTTTTCTCAAATGAAAGCTTTATAATTTTGCACTCTTGAGCCTGGAAAGGTGGGGTCTTGAGGATTTCTCACAGGGCCTCCAGGCATCTTTCCTATTGTTCCAATGCAAAGTACTTGGCTTCTTTTTAAGGCTCAGCTTTTTAACAACCAAGCTGTCCTGGGCCAAAATTTTACAAGCCCCAAGTTTATAGGTGGTTCCTTTCTGGTAAAATTCAAATCTTTAAAAATCACTCAGGTGTGCTGTTTGCTTTTATTTTTTATTTTTTTGGTACCAGGGATCGAACTCGGGTCCTTGCTCTTGCGCAGTAGGCGGCAAAACCACTGAGCTAAATCCCCAGCCCTGATGTTTGCTCTTGATTCTCAGTGTAGAGCTGGCTAAAAGCCCCCCAGCAGTACCCATGCCACAGCCTCAACAATGGGCTATCTTAATGTTTTCTCCACCAGATTAGTCCACTGTCCTTAATGTCAGTCTCCTGAAAAGTCTTAGGTCATGAGCAAAACGTAGAAAAATTTTCTGCTGGAGAATAACATATAAGGCCTGGAGTCCAACTACCAATGGAGTCCTTGTTCCCAACTGGAACCTCCTGAAACTGCACTTTATCATCTGCATTTCTATTCACATTCTGGTTTTCTGAGCTCTGACCAGACTCTCCCATCAAGCTCCGCTTACAGCATTGTAGGGCTACTTTTCGAGCCAGTGTCTCCAAACTTTTCCAAATTCCCTTTGGCAAGCCAGATCCAAAGCCTTCTGAACCACACGGTCAGGTATAGTACTGGCAATAACCCCATTTCTCCAGTATCAAAGTCTGCCTTGGTCACTTTTTCTCTGCTGGGGCATAATATCTGACACCCATGACATAAAGGAGAAGAGCTTTAGTTTGGCTCACATTTTCAGTCCATGGCCAGCTGGCTTCAAGGCAAGAAGGCATGGAAGAGGGGCCCAGTGGAGGAAAAGCTGCTCATGTCATGGAGGCTAGAAAGCAGAGAGAAGAGAAGAGCCAGGAGAGAGGTATGCTTTTCCAGGTCATGCCCCCAGCGATCCACACCTCGTCCAAGCAGGCCTCACTTTCTAACATCACGTGATTCAGTCACCTCCCAAAGCCCCAGCCTAATAAGCCATAATGGCCTGCATGAAAATGAAGGCTACATGGGGAACCTGAGTTGAGAGATGAAGATAAAGACCTGTGTTATCTGAGCTCCTGGGTCCAGCCATGCCTGAGGCCAAACCCCTGGCAGCTTTCTGCCCTCTGCATTCATAAGAATCCCACAGTTCCCAGAATCCTCTGCTGAAATGGCTTTCTTCAAGTGAATGCTGACTCCCCAGTCTTTTCCCAGTCTTCATTTCCTGCTTGACATTCCAGACAAACCTCTTGGATGTGATCTCCCCTCTTTCCCTGGCCTCTTTGATTCTCTCTTCCCTCACCCGCAGCTCCTCTTTCTATCACACCAGTGCCCTCCACCCACCACCTAAGTCTGGGAGTGTCATAAGCCCCAGGCTCGGCATGGTCTGGTCCTCCCCAACACTGTCACCCCTCTTGGCCCTCATCTGACCCCTGACTCCCAAGCAGGCACCTCAACTTCAGATGTCAATTCTGGCCTCTCCCTCTTAGCCAACATCTTCCAATTCCAATGTCTACTTGGAAGGCCCAGACATGTCCACTCTGTCACTTCAACTTCCATGTGCCTCCCACCATGCCCACAGGGGCCTGCATATGGCCCCCACTGGCTTCTGCCACTTCCCCTGGCCCCCACACGATCACTTTGCTCCAGCTGTGCTGGCCCTTCTGTCCCAAGGGTATGCCAAGCCTCTTCCTGCCTGGGAGCCTTTACTCTTGTTGTGCCCTCTGGCAGAAATGCCCTCCCTCTAGATGCTCACTAGGCTGGCTCTTTTTGCCACCTACCTCCTTGCAGAGGCCTTCTCTGCCATATACCCTTGCCTCTGCTGTGTCCCAGTGCCCAGCATAGGATCTGGTTCAGGGAAATGCTCGTGGTTTGCTGCCAAAGGGAAGAACGCTGGCACCATGTTTCTGCCCCTACCCTGTGCCCTGGACCAGGTCTGGAGGCTGAGGAACACCTTCTCCACCTGTTGGTTCTCTTGCACCTGTCCTCTCCCCCTCTTGTCATCTGCCATTAAAAAAGAGTACCAAAGGTCTCCCGCCCTCTCCTCCCAGCCACGAGGTGAGACATCTGGTGGAAGGAACTCCCCATATGGATTGCCACCACCTTGCTTTATGTGATTTGATTTTCTCTGATGGAAATGAATGGCTGGCATTGGTTTGCAAGTGCACCGAGGAGCCAGCACTGCATGTCATGTGTTGGGAACTTAGTCTGGGGGACAGCCAGGCAAGGACTCCACCTGTGTTCCATGTCTGCTGCTGACCTCTTCCCTGAGGTGCACATTTTCTCCTGGACCTCTCAGATGTGACAGCTGGCTGGAGCCCGCGTGTCTCTGTCTGCAAGAGAACACACTGCTCCCTACCGCGTGGGGCCAGTTCTGTCCCATCACTGCCCACATTCCCATCACAAACCTCAAGGCAGCAGAAAGCTGTTGCTTGGCTCTGCAGTCAGCATGGTGTGGAGGGACCACAGATTAGGACAGAATGAGAGCCAAGATTCCAAAGTACTGGTGGGTTGAGCCTAATATAAACTCCGAAGCTCTGAGCTTGAGTTTATAAAAACTGACTGTACCTCTATGAGGTAGGTGCTAACTGCTAATAAAATGGGACAAGGAGTGGACACTGGACCCAAGTAGAATGACAAGTTGTTTCCCTAAGACTCTGGGATTGGCTGCTGTGGCCACAGCTGAGACAAGGGCACTGGTGGGGTGAGGCCACTGGCTTCCCTGTGAAAAGAGCAGAGAAGGCTGATCTCATGGGGAAAGGGCAGGCACTTGGCCTCGGGGAGACAGGAGGAAGCTGGGAAAGTTCCTGACACCTTCGCGGCTCCTGTTCCTGCCCCATTTACTGAGCAGCTGCCTTTCTGGCGAGGAGCTCTGTGAGCATTCTCCACACATTACCCTAGTTCTGCTCAGACGGGCACCGGGAGCCACCTGCCCCCTTGGAGGACACCTCTGTGATGCAGACGTCATCACAACAGGAGCCCTGCTGGCCATGCAGTCTCGGGCCGTCTTACAGTGCCGATGCATCGCAGTCCCAGGGCAACGGTCGCCCTACCAGCACAGGGAGGGCTCGGCCTGGGTGTCTACCGGAGGCCGTGGCCATGGGGTTCAGCCCGAGGTGATACGTACTTTAAAATTTCTAAGCAATTTCCTTTGTAGCATGACCTGCTTAACCAGCACTAAATCTCAAGGGCCCAGTGCTTAATGTGTCATTGAATCAAGGAGCAAAATGCATGGAAGGAAATTAGCATGAGAGTCTTCTGAACTGGGCAAGTTAGAATTACACCATCACCCGGGAACTCCCAGAGGCTCCGGCACATCTGTTTACGAGGAAGCTCCAAGTGGACCACCTCTTCCAGGCAGGGCGGTGGCAGACGACAGCCATGGCAACAGGGCACCAGAGGGCAGCAGCCTGATGCACCTGCTGCACAGGTGCCAGAGCTGGTCCTCCTGGATTCGCATCTCACGTCTTACTCCGGCCCTCGCTGCCTGTGGGACCCCAGGAAGCTGCTTCAACCTCACATTTTCTTTGGACAGTGGGGTCCCACAAGGCATCGGGCGCATGTGGATACAGCACTTGGATGGGCCCTGGCTAGCTGCAGGCAGCCCGAGTCCAGCCGCCACAGCACCTTCTAACACTGCCCCACCCTGCGGAGGGAGGGCTCGCTGTGAGCCAGGTGCCTGACCGAAGGGAGGCCTCAGCTTTTTTCCACCCTCCTCTCCTGTTTCACACCCAGTCTCAGGCGAAACCTGTAAGGAGCCAGAGGGGACCCACAGGGCAGCTCCGCACCCTAAGAGACAGACTGGGGGTCTGCCAGGCACCGACAGAACACATGTGATTTGATTCATTAAAAAATGCGAGCATTGGCTTTGCAAATGGATGCACAACAAGAGGTGGGGTCAGAGTGCAGGGTGTGGGGAGGAAGGGAGAAGGAGGAAGAGGAGGACAAGGAATAGGAGGAGGAGGAGGAAGAGGAGGAGGAGGAGGAGCAAGGCATCAGTCAGGGATGCCCTTGGGGACAATCTGCAAGGCTCACAAAGCTGCCACTGGGACTCCTGCCAGCAAATGGGGTCTTCTTTTCTCTTTTCTCTTTGCAGCAACAGGGAAAGGTCTTGCTAAGTTGTCCAGGTGGCCTTGAACTTGTGACCCTCCTGCCTCAGCCTCCTTAGATGGGATCACAGGCAGGTGCCACTGAGCCAGGGTGTCTTTTGTTTTGTTTTGACACACACAGTGGTACAACGTTGAAAACTCAGGCTGCTCCGTATTTCTGACTTCTCTTGAAGAGAAGCGAAGGAGGGCGGGGGCGCACTAGCCCGGCACCCACCGACGCCCGAGTGGACAGCAGCTGCCCCTCCAGACGGCCTTGTGCCGTCCACCCCGTCCCGGTCCTTGCACCTCCCTGTGGTTTTCCTAACACCCAGCCAAGGGTCGACTGTGTGTGTCAGGCTTGTGCTGTTTCTGAACGAACTATCACAGGCACAGTAACACAGACGGGGAAACTTGTACCACAGGAAAAGGGCCGAGCACGGACTCAGGAGCAGGGCAGACACTGAGGAGCTTCTCCTGTGAGCGGCGCCTCGGCCATGTCACCTGTACCCCACTCCGCCCAGACTTTGGGCGGCCCTCGCTGGGGTGACCCCACTGCACACACAAGGAAACGGGGTCCCGGCCGAGGGGCTTCGCGCCGCTTAGAGGCATGGGGGTGTCAGTGCCTGTTATGCTTTGGGCCTAAAACGGCCCCCACGAGACTCCTGCGCTGAGAGCTGGGGCCTTCGGGAGGGGACCGGGTCATGGGCTCCGACCTCCTCGGTGGATCCGCCCCGCGATGGAGTCATCATGGGGGCACGACTGAGGTGACAGACAGCAGGTGGGGCCCCTTCCTCTCGGCTCTGTGCCCTTCTCCGCTTCCTGGCAGCCATGAGGTGAGCGGCTTTCCTCCCCCACCCCCTCCCGCTGTCGTGCTTCTACCTCACCACGGGCCCAGATGCAACAGAGCCCCCTGACCGCGGAATGTGAGCTAAAGCAACCCTTTCCTCCCCACACTGTTTTCTCCGGGGTTCTGTCACAGCAGCAGAGGGCTGAGCGACACAGTTCCCATCACACTCTGCCCGGACCTTACCTCCACCGGCCGGCTGGGCATCGCCGTGACTGCCACTGCCGACAGCCTCCTTCCTCGGGGCCCTCCGCCCGCTAGCAGGGCGCTCTCTGCCACGGGGCTGGGTAAAGAAGTCCAAGTCATCACCGCCGACTTGGGGGGCCGCCCTCTGGGGTCTCTCCCCAGCGATGACACTCCAGCTGGTCCTCCGCCCTTGTTCCTGCCAGGAGCTTCTGTCCTCGGCCCCAGGCTCCCCAGGACCCCCAAGCATGGCCTGGCTGGGTGGGAGCCTGCCTTTCCAGTCCAGCGGCTCCTCAGGGCCAAGCCAGAGGGGCTTGGGCTTCTTCCCCCGCTGCTTCCTGTCCTTGGCCGTGGGAGAGGGCTGCAACCAGCACGGGGTTTTCCTTGGCAGCTCAGAGGTCTTCCTGCCCGTGAGGTCATCCAGCTGTCGGACCGGAGTGGGCTGCACGTCCAGAGGAGCGCGTGGCTTTGGTGGGGAGGAGGGAAGTGCACTGGGCACCTCATCCATGGAGGCCGGGGCTGCCAGCAACCTTAAATCCTCCTCCAACGTGGACAAACTGTCTTTCATGCAGTTAGTTGAATTCATCTTCTTGCCAAGTGAAGTTCCTCGTGAAGAAGGCTTCACATCCACTACAGCTTCAGCTGGCTGCGAGCAGCTGTGGCTGAGCTTCAGGTCCCCATCCGTGCCAGTGGCCGCAGGGACAGGTCTGTGCTCTCCCCCACAGGCACTTGGGCTGCCCTCGGCACTCGCATTCCTCTCCTTCTGTGGGCCAACCGGGATGGTGAGATCCGCCGGGCCCCCTGGGCCTCCTTGGTCTAACACGCCATCAAAGATGAGGTGTCTGCCGACATAAAGCTTCACATTCCTGGCACCAATGCCAAGATCCTGGAAACACAGAATTTAACAAAATGAGGATGCTTGGCATCAGGCGGGCGGATGCATCAGATTTGGAAAGAGCAGATACCAGAGCAGAAAACTATGAAATGCTAGGAACACGAGCTTTCTAAACCTTTGGCCGCGGGGATGCTAAGTAAGACTCCATCTCGTCTCTGCATTTCTACCCTGAAATCAAAGGGCTTTCACAAAGAGATGGCCTCGGTCGCGGCCTGCACCATCGCTACCTCCTGTCGGGACATTTGTAGTCACCACTAACTGGTCTCCCTGCTTCCTGGATCTTGTTGCTTCAACCTCAACTTCACATTGCCACCTGACTTAATTTTCTGCAGGAGCCAATCTGCCTAGTCTCTCCCCTTTGCGAATTCATCATGGTTTTTCATTACTAACTATAGCAACATTTTTAAAAGTATGGCTCCTGGGCCAGGCATGTCAGAAAAGCCTGGTGTGCACAAACCCTGGGCCCCATGAGTGTCTCAACTGGGCGTCGTGAGAGTCTGAGAGGCAGCTGATCTGGCAGCTGATGGAGAGAGGAAGTATGGAGAACAGGAGAGGGCAAGAGAAGCCCCTCAGAAGTACTTGAGCTGAAGTGAGCTACGGGGTCTCGTTCCTGCGGAGGCCTCCAAGGAAGCCACAGGAGGTGCCTCACGACGTCCCTCCAAAGCCTGGGGCGGAGCCCTTCATGCACTGCTGGCCCACACATGCAGGGGAGCTAAGCGTGTTCGCTGACCATGTAGTGGGGACGGGCACTGCAGCGCGCAGCTGAGGGACAGCTGTCACCACACTGGGGACCCCCGCCCTTCAGCTGGGGGCTGTGGAGTGGGTGTCATGGCCATGGCCTGGTGGTGGGTCAGGGAATCTCTGCACTCCTAACACGTTTTCCAGCTAACACTTTCGCACAGGAAGGTAGAGAATGCATGCCGGTGGGATGAATCCTAAACCGCTCAGCTTGGCTGATCTTCACAAGGGTCCCTGTCTTGTCTTTCTGTTTTCTTCCCCCACCACACACGTGCCTGTGTCGTGCAGCTGTTCCACACCTCACTGTTCGTGCCTGAAACAAGATCCACCCCCTTCCTGACATGTGCCCACCGGTCTCTCTCTTCCAGCAAAATCTCTCCCCAGCTATATCAGGAATATCATGCATCCACATGCCACACACTGGACATATTCCTGGCAACTAACTCAGGAGGTCTAACACGGGCACATGCCATTCAGCCAGGGGCCATCTCCACATTCAAGATCACGGACACGCCCGTCACCCCCAGTTTCCCTCCCACCCTGTTGCCCCTGCTCGCCATCACTATAGATCGTCCGCATTTTCTAGAAGTTTTATATAAAAGGAATCAGGAATTATGTGCTCCTTCTTCACCTGGCTTCCTCTGCTCAGCATAATCACTTCAAGATTTACCTGAGTCATGTGGATCAGTTGTTTTCTTTCTGTTTATTGCTGAGGACTATGCTATTCTTCAGGGGCGACCCATGGTTTGTTCACCTTCCCTGCAGTGAAGCTTAGAGAAACTGTCACTGCACACCCTCTTCTCCCCTTGCTCTTGACCTTGCTCCTGCTGGGCTTCTGCCCCAAGCTCTGCACGGGACCCAGCATGCCGAGGGACACTAACTGGGGCAAGGGACCACCCTTGTTTGTCAGGGATGAGTCTGATTTATACCTGCTGTTCCGTGTGATCACTAAGAGAGCCCTCTTCCCATTCTGAGGGCTCCTGTGGGGACAGTAAATCGAGGGCCCAGCAGTCTGCCAGAGCCAATGGAGGAGTCCTGGTCCTCAGGTCCTACAGCAGCCTGGCCACTGCCCCTGCTGCCCAGGCTCGACCCTGGGCTCCCGCAGCTGTACCTGCTTGTTTCCACTCCTGCCGTGCTTGCTGCCCCTTGCCCAGGACCCCAGCCGGATGCCCCTGTCAGCTGGACCTTCACTGGCTGGGCGGCCCCTGATTCTCAGGGGAGTCATCTAAGCCCCTGAATCCCACCCTGGTGCTGATGACTCCCAATTATTTGACTGTCCAACCGTGACTTCTCCACCGAGCCCCAAGTGACTTTCTAACCTCTCTTCTTAGGTGTTTAACATGCATCTTGACCTTGACATGACCCAAACAGAACTCTCTGGTAATTTTCCCCAAAACTAGTCTTCTCCCATCCTTACCGCAGGTGTACCATTCAACCAGTTGCCAGAAACCTAGGAGTTCCCTCGGTGCCCCTAATTCGTTCATCCCACCGTCAACACGTCCCTTGGCTCATTCTGCAGATGCACCCCAAACCTGACCTCTCCTCCCAGAAGGGGCTCCTGCCCCAGCCCAGACCACCAGCGTCTTCCCCAAAGACACCTCCACTGCCTCCTAGCTGGTCTCTGCCTCCACTCCACACTGCCACCTCCCTTCCCCGCATGCACACATTTCATCTTCTACGCAGCAGCCAGTCTTTTTAAAAACAGCTTCAATCACATCGCGGCAGCCCCTGCTGAGCACTTCCCAGCAAGGCGACTTCCCCCACACTGATGAGAGTCCCGGCTCCTGTCAAGCCCTGGGCCCCTGCGATGGCGCCCTGCCCGCTATCTCTGCCCAGCTCTGGCTCACTCGCTCCCGGCCCACGGCTCTGACTGCTGCTCCTCGATAGCACTGAGCTGATTCCTGGACTGCCTGGAATGTTCTGCCCGGAACATTCTGCTGCAGCACTGCTCCTTCTCAGCCTCAGTGGGCCTCCCTGGCCACAGGCTCTGCAGCAGCCCAGTCCCAGCATGCCTCTCTCCAGCCACCATGCTGTTCCACTTCCCCTTCATCTCTGAAGGGTCTCCCGCAACAGCTTTCTAACCTATGGTCTCTCCCACTCGAAGCTAAGCTCTGCGACAGCAAAGATGCTGCTATCTTGTCCAGGGCCTGGCACTTGCCAGGCACTCAGCAACTGCTTTGGATTAATCAGAGGCATTTTTCTCCCAAGCCAGCCCTGCTCTGTCAGAGTAATGTGACCAGGAAGATGGTGGCACGTTGGTTTCCCTCTCGCTCTGGCTTCTGATTCGCTGCCTGGGATCTGAGAGCCCAGAGATGCCCACCCACACTTATCCCCCACCCACACCTTCCTGCCTGGGGGGTGAGCTCGTTCCAGCCACGCTTCTTCATCGCTCAGTGGTAGAGGGTTCTGGAGCCATGTGAATCAGAAGGACCCAGCCCGGGTAGCAGCGCAGGAGCTCAGCTTCAATCATCCAACTGCAGGACGGCAGGCTACTATTTGCTGGCTGTCAGAAAAGTCGATTCTCAAAGCACTCTTTTACATGTTTATACGGATGTGCTCTCCGTGTAGCAGAGGCACAGAGCAAGCACGTGCTGTGAATTAATCAGGAAACAGCTATTTGAGAAGGACAGCACGGGCAGCTTTCAATGACTAGTTCTGCAAAATTACCACCATGGAAACATCTGGCGAGACAGAAACACTCATTTAAAGAGAGGGTAGGGCAGCAGGGCGCCTTCCAGACCGGCACGTCAGGAGCTGGGCATCTCGGCCTCCTAACGAAAGTCTGGCTGTCAACGTCTGTCCAGTTCCCCTCCATGAAAAGTCGAGAGCCCCATCTGGCCTGCATTCATCCACTGCCCAGTGCTCCCCAAGAAATCTGCCTGGGGGTGGGGCGGGGGAGCAGGCTGAGGTAGGACACGTAGGTAAGAGAGGCGTGGGCAGGGGGAATGCAGGAGGGGAGGGAGGGAGGAAGCGGGAGCCTCTGCCCTGTGTGACGATGCCAGGTCTGGAGGTGTTTCCAGCAGCTGCAGGCCAAGAAGCCATACCTGCAGGCGGACTTGGCCTGAGGCTCACTAGAGCGGATCTTCTGAAGGGAGCAACTGCTACTCACTTCTCTGATACCCCAAGTTCAAGTGGAATACTGCACTGCACCACACAGCACTCAGAACAGCTCTGCAAGGTAGGCACTAGGTCTCCATTGTACAGATGGAGACACTGAGGCTGCTGCCCTCCCCAAGGTCCCCCAGCAGGTCTATGGTGAGTGACTCTGGCTGGCATTCTCGCTTGGGCACATTGGTGCTGTCCTGGCCTGTGCCAGTGTGGCCATGGGCAGAGTCACCTGCCCCAGTGCAGCTCTGGTCCCAAAGGCCCCACTTCTCCGGCCTGCACACTGATTCCCCTCCCCAGGGCGGTTGCAGTGAGTACAGGGCATGCTCATCCCCCACACTTCCTCCTACACAGTCGCCTCTCCTACTCTCGGGAGATTTATTCCAGGACCCCTGTGGATTCCAGCGTCCTCAGAGCTCCAGCCTCTTCTATAAAACGCACACACTTCATTTGCATATAACCTACACACATCCTCCCGTAGACTAAATCATCTCTAGATCACTTTAATATCTGACGCAGTGTAAATGCTGTATAAATACTTGTTGTTGTTTTGTATTATTTAGGGAATAATGATAAAAAAAGATATTCAGTAGAGACATTTTATTTTTCTGAATATTTTCCACCTGTGGTCGGCTGACTTTGTGAACGCAGGATGGAGGTACCAAGGCCACTACTGTCTTCACGTGGAGATCGGGCATAAACATTCGACCCAAGGGCCGCGCTGGGGAGAGGATGAGAGCCAGCCACAACCTCAAGGACTGGGCAGGGGTTCCACAAGCCCCTGCAGTCTCCCGCAGCCCTGGGAGACTGTCAGCCACTCCTCCAGGGTGAGGGGTCTTTCACTGCTGAAGCACAGCCGGCTTCCTCTTCCTGTCTCAGGCCTCGCCTCCAGCTCTCTCCTACTCTGAGGCACCCAGCAAGTCCATCCAGGCAGACCCCACCCTGCGACCACCTCGCCCTTAGGGCCATGTGTGCACCTGCGCATGTGCCTTTCTGCTTTCCTTGCGTGAACGCTGTTTTCTCCTTGTCTGGCCAGAGATAAGTGACACCTTTGCTGATGCAGCCCCAGACCCCCTCTGCAAGGAGCTCTCAAAGGATGCTCTGAAGTGCCCGTGGTTCACAGGGCCCCTTTCCCAACTCCATTTCTC